TTATGTAAAAAAAAAAACATTGTGCGGTAACCGGCAATTAATACCAGACCCTTTAGGTCTGGTAGGAATTATAGGCTCGGTGCAGACAAACGTTCGTTTCGTTTTCTGTTCTTATTCGTTTCGTTCGTTGGAGCAAAGTGACATTAGAGAAGGATAAAAATATTTTTTCCCCCTCAAATGTCACTTTTGCTGCAAACGAATGAAACGAATAAGAAACGAATAAGAACAGAAAACGAAACGAACGTTCGTACTAACGCTACCGAATTTCGTCCGAATCCGAATTCCGAATTGACTTTCACACCCGAATCCTGAAAAACGAAATAACACAAATCCGAATTTAAAACGAAACGAAACTAAACGAATTTTTTGGCAGTGCACATGTCTAGTACATGTACCTTTTTTTTGCGATACAAGACGTGCAGCGTGTTCGGAAGCATGGGAGGAATCACGGTGGAAAACTGTGCGATCCGCCCGGCGCGATTGGGGTGCCATTAGAAAATAATGGCACCCACAGCGCAATCGGTTCACACCTTGGCGACTCTTGACCGCGGGCAATCCGCGCGGAATCGTGCACGATTGCCGCACGGTGAGGTGTCGCCTAGGTGTGCACCGGCCCTTAAGGGGATCCCCCCTAAAATCCCTTACCAGACCCTTAATCCGGGCAGCAGCCTGGCAGGGCAGGGAAGGGGGGGACAAGCAAGCACTTCCCCCCTCCAACCACCATACCGGCCACATGCCCTCAGCATTGGGAGGGTGGGGTTCCAGGGGGACCCCTTGGAAAGCACCTTGTCCTCAAGACCCCTTGATAAAGCACCTTGTCCCCCTCTCCCTCAGGTCTGCTCCTCTGGGACAGAGAGAAGGCAGTGGGAGGCAGCCATTCTGCTATTGGCTATTTTAAAGTGCAATAGCCAATAGCAAGCTGGCTAATGCTCCAGACCTGAAAGAGAAAGTTTTGGAACTGGAAAAGCGTCCTCCCAATGTGGCCTGGTATGGTGTGTTGGGGGGGGGCACATGCTAATTTAAAAAAAAATATTATTATTATTTCTGTGAACAGTTAAACACTTTAGTATACTCTGTGACAGCTGTCAGATTCTTTACATTCAGGATGAAGTGTCCTCAAAGAAGCAAAAGCTGTTACAGAATAACACGGATCTCTCAGCTTCTTTCTTTATTTACATTTTGTAACAATATTCTATTACTTTATTTTTATTTGAGATACAAATGCAGAGAAGCCAGAGAGCGGTAAATGATACATAGCTCTCCCGCTTGTTGTGTTTAGTTTTCAAATGAAATTCATATGTATCAGAATTTCGTAATCAAATATTAGGATTCCTTCAGATTCCTTATTTCCATCATTCAGAAATTCAGATGCATCCGAATTTACAGAAATTCATACGAATTTCAATTCAGAGCGAAACGAATTGCACATGTCTAACAACGATCATCCATAAGGTTATGACCACTGAGAGGTGAAGTGAATAACATTGATTATCTCGTTACAATGGCACCTGGAAGTGGGGGGGATATATTACAATGGCACCTGGAAGTGGGGGGGATATATTACAATGGCACCTGGAAGTGGGGGGGATATATTACAATGGCACCTGGAAGTGGGGGGGATATATTACAATGGCACCTGGAAGTGGGGGGGATATATTACAATGGCACCTGGAAGTGGGGGGGATATATTACAATGGCACCTGGAAGTGGGGGGGATATATTACAATGGCACCTGGAAGTGGGGGGGATATATTACAATGGCACCTGGAAGTGGGGGGGATATATTACAATGGCACCTGGAAGTGGGGGGGATATATTACAATGGCACCTGGAAGTGGGGGGGATATATTACAATGGCACCTGGAAGTGGGGGGGATATATTACAATGGCACCTGGAAGTGGGGGGGATATATTACAATGGCACCTGGAAGTGGGGGGGATATATTACAATGGCACCTGGAAGTGGGGGGGATATATTACAATGGCACCTGGAAGTGGGGGGGATATATTACAATGGCACCTGGAAGTGGGGGGGATATATTACAATGGCACCTGGAAGTGGGGGGGATATATTACAATGGCACCTGGAAGTGGGGGGGATATATTACAATGGCACCTGGAAGTGGGGGTGGGATATATTATAATGCTACCTGGAAGTGGGGGGATATATTAGGCTGCAAGTGAACATTTTGTCCCTGAAGTTGATGTGTAGGAAGCAGAAAAAATGGGCAAGCGTAAGGAATTGAGTAACTTTGACAAGGACCAAATGGTGATGGCTAGACGACTGGGTCAGAGCAACTACAATACTGCAGCTTTATGGGATGTTCCTGGTCTGCGAAGGTCCAGAGTTTGAGGTGTTGACTTGGTCTCCTAATTCTCCAGATCCCAATCCAATCAAGCATCCGTGGGATGTGCTGGAAAAACAAGTCCGATTCATGAACTGCATAGAGAAGCACACAGACTCAGTGGCAACCTCACTGGATCTCTTTTAAGGTACACCATGAAAACAGAGAAGTATTATTTAAAAAAAAAAATCATTAGGATATTAACAGTAAGTGATGGAGTAACCTGGGAATGCAAAATATAAGTAGATTCAATGTCAGCTTTAATGTTCATGTGTTTTGAGTGAAAGTCTCGCCCACAGTAAAAAAAATTCTGTTGCAGAGAAGAACACAGATAAGGTGCAGACTACAGGCGTTCATAATAACTACTCAGATTTTAATTTAGTTTGGTCTGCCCAGTTAAATGAGAACTATGGGGTAAGTGTTTTTCCCCATAGTTCTCTTAAGGGTCACGGGAGGACATATAATAACCTCCTCCCGTGACCCAAAGCTCAGAATGTCATGGGCTGCAGGTCGCTGTATACTGAGACCGCCGACAATGCCGTCGAGATCCACCCAGCTGTGTGAATGACAGCTAGCTGGCTCTGCCTGTCTAGAGGCAGAGCCAGCTTTACCCACCCGCTCCACCGTCCGTTCCACCAGTCAGCGCTGGAGGATCGGAGAGGGGAGGGGGGAATCCCTTTGGGGAGTGGTGACTGACAGTCACGGCTCTCTGCAGGGAGTTGATCGCGAAGTGACCGAGTGAAGGTATGTGTTTGCTCACTTCCCGATCTACTGAGTCGACGTGTGACAGTTTCATTGTCACACTTCAGCTCGAACTATGAGGCTGAGTGATTTTCACTCACCTCATAGTTCTCCTTTAAAGGAGAATTATGGGGAGAGTAAAATACACTCATCCCCATAATTAGAGTTGATGTGTGACACTGCAGCCTTTCCAGGTTACATATAGTTACATTGTATTTGAGGTTGAATAAAGACACAGGTCCATCAAGTTCAACCTTTGTGTGTCTGTGTGTGATTGTGCATGTGTGTGTACATACACAAAGGTAGGTCAGCTCTATAGATCGAGAACTGAGCAATCACATACCGATGATCACTCAGTTCCCAATCTTCTCCCTGCAGAGAGTGTGACTGTAAGTCATGGCTCCTTGAAGGGATTTCCCCCCGCTCCTCTCCGTTCCTCCAGCACTGACTGGAGGGACAGACGGGAGCGGGCACAGCTGGCTCTGCTTCTCTAGAGCTGTCAATCAGGTGGTGAGGTGGATCCCGACAATAGTATGGGGACCTTTCTCACCCGCAGTGCGGCTCTGCACCGTCAGCATATTGAGGGCTTTATCCTGAGTTTTGGAGAGCATAGTAAATATCTGTGACCCTAAAGAGAACTATGGGCAAAAAAGGTTGGGCCACAGTCCTTTATTAAGAGATCATTTCTGCTTTATCTCAACGAGTTACTAATACTTATTGTTAATGGTCCTCACAATGTCTTACTGAATAAACTCATATCTGTAATTACGTAGATTACCATAGATGCTCCGCAACCTCTTAGCTATGCAAGAAACAGGACAGATGGCATTACGACCTAAGGAATTTTATTTAAAGATCTGATGTTCCATATTTAGTCCTATGGAGCCTCCTGGCTAAATACATTGAAAATCATTACTAAAACTCCAGCAATGTTACTGTATACAAAATGTATCTTGTTGGGAAGAAGACATTTCTGAAAACACAGATTATCTGAAGCCAACAACGTTATTCAACCAGTTGGATTTAGATGTAAAACAAGTATGAAAGGGACACAAATAATTACAAATTGTTGGTCGCAGTATATAGTGCCTGGCCAAAAAAAAGTCACCACCTGGATTTAGCTAAGTAAATAAGTAAGAGCCTTCTATTGGATAATAGGTTTAGGTTCAGCAACATTATGCGCTCAAAAAATGAGGTCATCTGCCACCTAAATATACTAAATGACCAGGTTTTTCCATTAATGGATTTTTTCTTCTCTGATGGCACATTGGGCATATTCCAAGATGACAATGTCAGGATTCATCGGGCTCAAATTGTGAGAGTGGGTCAGGGGGCATGAGACATCATTGTCACACATGGATTGGCCACCACAGAGTCCAGACCTTAACCCCATTGAGAATCTTTGGGATGTGCTGGAGAAGACTTTACACAGTGGTCTGACTCTCCCATCATCACTACAAGATCTTGGTGAAAAACGAATGCAACTCTGGATGGAAATACTGTAAATGTTTGGACATTGCGTAAGCTTATCAAAAGATGAATTGAATGGCGAATGCATGCTGTAATCAAAGCTAAAGGCGGTCCAACAAAATATTTGAGTGCAAGACTTTTTTTTTGCCAGGCATTGTAGAAATAATAAAAGATCTCTTAAAGACCAACTCCACCCAAAGCTGATATCTCAGTGTTGGCTGCACGCCCTTGAGCTGAAGTTTTGTTATCACCCAGATCCTCTGCCTTCTCTCTCAGGACCATAACGAAGACATCAGTCTGCATTCATTTTTAGAGCATGACACCATCATTTGGCTTTGCGATAGCCACAGCAGTTGGGAATTCTCATAGTAAAATATCAACAATCTCAACCCCCCCCCCCACAAATTTGAAGAAGCCAGTAATGGGATGTTACAATAGCTATTCAAACCTGAAATGACAGTTTCTGGTGGGGTTGGCCCTGAAAATAATAATCACACATGGTCATCATTTTTTTTGAAACAGTGTCCAGAATTCTGATCAGTGCCCAGCAGCAGAATAATGACATCATCAACATAGAATGGCGGTGTCACTGAAGAAGACGGTAGGGTTCTTAAAGTAGACATGGCTTGCAGACGAAGATTTGGAAGGAGCTATGATAAATGGTTTGTCACTTTTTCTGTAGTTGTCTTGCCAAGACATCAGCCTGCAAAAAAAGGAACCATCAGGGTAATTTATTTTACTGAAGGGGAGAGAGAGAGAGAGGGAGAGAGATCTATTTATTTCTATGACTTTATTTGAGATTTAAATCTCCATAGAAATGTTTACTGCATGACCTCTGTCTGTCTGCTTTTATGTTCTGGTTGTGAATGCCTACCTTTGACTATAGTATTTCCATGTGTGAAGCGCCAAGGGATTTCATTGGGATCAAGTGCTTCTCTCTCTCTATTTTTCTCTATCACTCTCTCTCTCGATCGATCCCTCTCTCTCTATATATATCTCTCTCGATATCCCTCTCTCCCTCTTGATCTCTATCTCTTGATCTCTATCTCTCTCTCGATCCCTCTCTTGATATCTGCTTAATATCTCTCTTTCAATCTCTCTCTGTCTCTCTCTCTTGATCTCTATCTCTCTTGAACCCTCTCTCTTGATATGTCTCTCTCTCGATATCTCTCTCTCTCTATATATCTCTCTCGGTCTCTATCTTCTCTCTCGGTCTCTACCTTCTCTCTCTTGATCTCTATCTCTCTCTCTCGATCACTCTCTCTTGATATATCTCTCTCGTTCTCTCTCTCTCTCTCGATATCTCTCTCTCTCTCTCTCTCTCTCTCTCTCTCTCTCTCT